GATTTTTTGGAATGTCCACCCAAAGCACAGACAACAAAAGCAAAAATAAACAAGTGGTACTACAACAAATTAATTATTTCTGCACAGTGAAAGAAAATCAATAAAATGAATGCCACTGTAAATTGGTACAGCCTCTATGAAAGACAGTATGGATGCCCTCAAAATATTGAAAATAGAATAATCATATAGCAATTCCACTTTTGGGTATATATCCAAAGGAAATAAAATTACTACTATTTCAAAGAGGTATCCTCACTGCCATGTTCATTGCAGCATTATTGGTAGTAACCATAATATGGAAACAACCTCAGTGTCCATCAGATGATAAGTGATTAAAGAAAATGTCACATATATATGACATTTTATCAATGTGAAGGACTTAAATATAAGTTGCAACACCATAAAAGTCCTAGAGGAGAACATAGGCAGGGAAATCTCAGATATTCCACACAGCAATATTTTCACCGATATGTCCCCTAGAGCAAGGGGCATAAAGGAAAGAATAAACACATGGGACCTCATCAAAGAAAAAGCTTCTGCACAGCTAAAGAAAATATTAGTAAAATGAAAAGGGAACCAACCATATGGGAAAACATATTTGCCAATGATATCATGGACAAGGGTTAGATCTCCAAAATTTATCAAGAGCTTACATGACTCTTCTCCAGGAAGACAATCCAATTAAAAAAATGGGCAAAAAACCTGAACAGATACTTCTCCAAGGAGAACATACAGAGGGCTCAGGGACATATGAAAGGATCCTCAGCATCACTAGCCATCAAAGAGATGCAAATTAAAACAGCAATGAGATACCACTTCACACCAGTCAGAGTGGCCATCATAAACAAATCAACAAAGAACAAGTGCTGACAAGGCTGTGGAGAAAAGGAAATCCTAGTGCACTGTTGGTGGTACTGCAGACTGGTGCAGCCACTGCAGAAAACAGTATGGAATTTCCTCAGAAAACTAAAGATGCAACTGCATTTTGACCTGGCATTTCCACTGCTGGAATTATACCCTAAGAACCCTGAAACACCAATTCAAGAGAACCTATGCACCCCAATGTTCATAGCAGCACAATTTATAAAAACCAAGTATTAGAAGCAACCAAAGTACCCATTAGTAAGTGAGTAGATCAATAAACTGTGGTACATTTACACAATGGAATACTACGCAGCAGAAAGAAAAAAGGAGCTCCTACCCTTCATGACAGCATGGATGGAACTGGAGACCATTACGCTAAGTGAAATAAGCCAGGCAGTGAAAGACAAATACCATATGATCTCACCTATAAATGGAACTTAATCAACAAAACAAGCAAGCAAAATATAACCAGAGACACTGAAATAAAGAACAATCTGACAGTAACCAGAGGGGAGTGGGGATGGGGATAATTGGGGCAAAAAGGGGAAGGGTCGTTGAGGAACATGTTTAAAGGACACATGGACAAAACCAAAGGGGGTTAGAATTGAGAGTGGGAGGTGGGGCTGGGTGGGGCAGGGGGAGCGTGGTGGGAAAATGGACACAACTACACTTGAACAACAATAAAATAAGTTAAAATGTGAAAAATGTACATATATAAAATAGGAAATTATTTAGTCTCAAAAAAAAAAAAAAAGGAAATCCTGCCATTTACAACAATATATATATGAACCTGGGGAATATTATCTAAGTCAGCAGTCCCCATCCTTATTGGTACCAGGGACTGGTTTCCTCTAAGATGGTGTGGGGGCGGGGTGCAGGAGATAGAGTTCAGGGGAGCTTAGATCCCAGGCTGGGGACACTACCAGTTGGTGGCTTGGGTGGTGGGACCTCTGATCTAAGTGAAATAAACCCAATACAAATTTAAATGTGCTGAGAACATTTACATTAGCCTGCAATTAATTGGATAAAATAATTTCAGACAATGAATACACTGTTCAGTATTGACTGCTTACCCTCCTGATTGCATGCCTGGCTGGGGGCTGAGGCTCAGTGCTGCTACTACCCAGCATGACAGGAGAATATCATAATGCACATTGCCAGCCAGGAGAAAGATCAAAATTTGAGGTAAGTTTCTATTGAATGTATATTACTTTTGGACTATAGAAAAATAAAAAAAAAAGTTGAACCATCGTAAGTTAGGGATGATCTGTACAGTTTTTAGGTATCAAAAATAAGTATGAGTCAGTATGGGATCAGAATTTTTAATTCCTGGTTTATAATCCAACACTATGTTTTTGCTCTAATTATTTCATATTTGGCCTCTGGGATCTGTTTGGTTTGGTTTCTGGGCCCTTCTGATATGCCCTGATCTTTTTTTTTTTTTTTAAGATTTTTTGTTTATTTATTTTTAGAGAGGGGAAGGGAGGGAGAAAGAGAGGGAGAGAAATGTCAACGTGTGGTTGCCCTCTGTGCATCCCTTACTGGGGACCTGGCGGGCAAACCAAGTACATGTCCTGACTGGGAATCAAACTGGTAACCCTGTGTTTTGCAGGCCGGCGCTCAATCCACTGAGCCACACTAGCTGGGGTGCCCTTCTCTTTTTTTATTTATGGTTTTGAATACTTCCTTATTTTCTAGTACTAAAAAGACTAATAGATGTTTCAGGCTCATCTTGTATTTTTCCTGCCCTGACCCTAGAATTAGTCATTTTTTCAAGGAGCCCTGGTTCCTGTGTTGTCTTCCTTTTTTTTTTTTAAACCATATTAACCATTTTAAGTGTTGTGGACTGAGTATTTGTGTCCATTTCCACCCCCAAATTCATATGTTGAAGACCTACATGGACATTTAACTACAGTGTGGCTGTATTTAGAGATGGGGCCTCTAAGGAAATAATTAAAGTTAAATGAGCTCATTATGGTGGCTCCTGATCTGACAGGGTTGGTGTCCTTATAAGAGGTACCAGAGAGCTCATTCTCTCTTCATGCGCACACATGCTGCAGAAAGACCACGTGAGACCATAGGGAAGAGGTGGCTGCTGCAGGAGGGAGTTTTCACCAGCCACTTTAATATTAGACTTCCAGGTTCAGACTGTGAGAATAAATTAATGTTGTTTAAGCCACCCAGTCTGATGTGCTTTGTTATGGCAGTCTAAGCAGACTAAGACAAGTGTATTCACAGTGTTTGTGCAACAGACCTCCAGAAGTTTTCACATCTTGCAAAACTGAAACTCAATAACCATTAAACGACTCTCCATTTCTCCTTTTCTCCAGCCCCTGACAACTACCATCCTATCTTCTGTTTTTATGAATTTGACTACTTTGCATGACTCATATAGGTGGAATCAGAGACAATTTATCTTTTTGTGATTGGCCTATTTCATTTATCATGATGTCTTCAAGGTTGATCCATGTTGTAGGATATGACAAGATCTTTTTCCTCTTTAAGGCCAAATAATAAATGTTCCATTGTATGTGTAGCCCACATTTTGTTTTTGTTGTCTCCCTTTTAAGAGCATCAATACTTGTTCTTTTTTTTTGAGAATTTTTGTATGAGTTTATTTGAGCCAAACTGATGACATATACCAGGAAGTAAGATCACAAATGTTCTCAAAACTTGTTCTTACAGACAGCTAAATTACTGGTGGATCTTTTGGGTTGTCAAGCTTTGTTTTGTTTGTTTATTTTTCATTCTGGTTAGCACTGCACCACCTCTGGTCTCACTTATTTAGGTGCCAGCCCTTCAGGAGGCCCTCTTAGCTAGGACTTGCAGAATCTGTGCAGCCTAGCTCCTAGCCAAGGACCTCTGCTGAGCACCCATGCAATCTTCTGTACAGCTCTCTTTATGCAGCTCTCTCTTATTAGTTACCCTGCCCTTCAAACTCCAGCCATAGAAGCAGCTCAAGACTTAATCTCTGTCTCCTCAGCTTGGAGAGACTGCTGTTCTGTTTAGAATGCATTTTTCTGCCTTATGCCAGGAAGTGGCCTTGGTGGAATCCTAGGGTGTTCATAGGATTCTCTTCTATCAATGATCACAGTCCTGCCTATGTTCTTTGCCTGGAAACAGTTGCCTCATGTATTTTGTCATGCATAGTCTTTTGGCTGAAGGTCAAGTCTAGTAGCACCCTGTCATGGCAGGAAAAAGGACTACAGTAGTTTTTATTAATATGCTCTTCCTGTTTCTCCTCTTTTCTACGTTTATATCAATACATTCTGTCTTGGTGCCCTTATCAGTTCCTAGAGTTTCAGTTTCCTTTCTGTTTTTCCTATGTTAATGTTTTATTAACAATTCACATATTAAAAATAAACTACTTTGGTATATATTATTTAATGTATTTCCTTTTATGTTGTCTTTGCATACAAAAACAAGAGAATGGGAGATAAATTTAATGGAATTTCTGAGACCATGAAAGGTAAAGATTAGAGCACGCTTGGCAGAATGATTTGGGGAATATAGGGGAGCAGAATATTCACAAAATATAATTGGGCAATAGCCCATTTTTTCCATAATTCCAGGCACACTTAGCCAATAGTCCATTTCTCTATTACATATAACAACCCAAAAGGTCCAAGAATCCATGAATCAGTCCCATTTAGCATGCATGTATTTTCTCAAAAGGGGAAAAAGCAAATACAAAATCTGAGATAAACTCATAGCTAGGAATCACTCTCATTTTTATTTCAGTTTCCATGGTTGAAATTGCTGGCTGAAGAGCAACTTGTTCTTGCTCCATAGAATTAGATGAGATGGGCAGTCAATTTAATATACAGGGTGGAGAAAAAGTAGGTTTACAGTTGTTTGTATGGAAAGCAATATAATAATTAATAAATAATAATAAAAGAATAAACTGTTTTGCATATTGACAACTGTAAGCCTTCTTTTGCTCAACCCTTTATATTTAATAAGCATCTAGAGAGTAAGGTGGGGCCACCAAATCATCACAATTTAGAATACTTATTTCTAGAGGCAGCCCCAGAATTTGGTCATTTCCTGAAAAATTACTTTTTTTTGTCACCTATATCTTGTAAAAAAAAACCCTACAAGTTTCCTGCTAGCAGTTTACAGATTGGGCTATTTCCTCACTGGCGCACATCTCCCCATACTTCTCTAATTTGACTTTCTCAGCTGAAGTGAAAGATACTAGATGGAGGTGATTGACAATGCTCTTTATTCTGCACTAGAATTGTCTACTGCACCCCAAGCCCAGAATGACTACAGACCACAGCAAAAAAGTAAGTAAACAAAGTTAGTCTGGAAAACTGTGCATAGTTACCATAGGCTAAGGGATGTATGGGAGGTAGAATAAGTTTTGAGTAGAGGATGAAGAAAAATTGAAGGTAATTTGAGGGCATATGTTAGTTTCAGTTTGAAGTCCAGAACTGGAATGTGAAAATTTGGTATATGGTCAAGGATCAGATCTTAGATCTCAGGTAGAGTCTTTTCTAACCGTTCACTTCTATGATCTCATCTATGAAACCCCAGCTAGGGCAGTTCTGTTATTCTTTATTGCTCTTGAACTAAAGCAGGAACTTTGTGTGTGTGTGTGTGTGTGGTGGGTACTTATCTCTTTAGTAAAGTCTTGAGTAAACCAGCTGTTTAAATTACAGGTAGTTCTGTTTTTCTGTGAGGTGAGGACAAGTATAAGACTTTGGCAGAAGAAAAACTGATTCACATATTAAGTAAGAGAATGTAAATTTATATATTGATGTGAGAGATAAATATCAATTGGTTGAACCCAAAAGATAGGTATGTGCCCTGACTTGGAATTGAATGCACAGCCTACTGGTGTACAGGACAACGCTCCAACCAACTCAGTCACACGGGCCAGGGCTCAACTATATATCTTGGCAGTCATTCCAAATCCATTAGAAACGTGTCTTAGCCCTGGCTGGCGTAGCTCAGTGGATTGAGCTTGGGCTGTGAACCAAAGTGTCACAGGTTCGATTCCCAGTCAGGGTACATGCCTCGGTTGCAGGCCATAACCCCCAGCAACCGCACATTGATGTTTCTCTCTCTCTCTCTCCCTCCCTTCCCTCTCTAAAAATAAATAAATAAAATCTTAACCCCCCAAAACATGTCTTTATTCCTTTGTTAGAAGCTGCATATTATGTTATAAATATATTAAAATGTATTTGATGTCTTATTGATAGACATTGAAACTGAATTCAATCTTTTTCTCCTATGAATATTGTTGCCATGAATAGCCTTACAAATACAACATTTTGCACATGGGTGAGTATCTGTATGAAAAATTTCTCAACAGGAAGTTGTTAAGTAAAGGATAAATGCCTTTGCAATTTTGGTGGACATTGCCAAATTGTCCTCCAAAAAGTTTGCACCAATTTATATGCTCACTATTGAAACATGAGACAGTGTAAGCCAAAATTTAAGAGGAAAAAGTATTCACTTTTTCAAAAGAAGTAATCTTGAAAAAAATTTTTAAACTTTTTTTTAGATTAAAAAATATTTTTAGAGAGAGGGGAAGGGAGGGAGAAAGAAGGAGAAAAACATCGGTTGCCTCTCCTCTGACAGGAAATCAAGGGAATCAAACTGGTAACCTTTTGCTTTGCAGGACAACACCCAACCAACTGAGTCACACTGATCAGGACAGAAAAAAAGTATTCTTAACTTGATAAATATAGCTTGTAACTTGATAGAGATGGTTACTCTAGACTTTAGAATAAGTTCTTGACAGATCCAAGATCTTTAGGGTGGGGATCTCAGTTCCTACTAGGCCAAATTGCTTCAAGATCCAAGATATCCTTCCCTGACCTTTTCTTTTCCTTTATTTTTAATTATGACTCAGGATTTTGCTTGGGATTCTGTTCTTGCAGCTTCTTCTTCCAGGTGCTCTTTCTCTCGTCGTATGATAATAGCTTCGGGGCTTCTGAGTGCCGTTCTTTTGAGTGTGCTGCTATGCATATGGATCCTGTGCCGGAGTAAGTTTTAATTTAAACCAAAGTCAATCTTTCATTGTATCCATGTATTCACTTTGTGTTATAAAAGCAATATAACATAGCAGAAAATTTGAATAATGAAAAATAATTTCAACAAAATAATTCACCTCTTGTAAACAACAGTTTCTGGGTGTAGCCTCCTAGTGTTTGACTACATGTTTTCATGTAAGTGTTTATTCTCTTCATAGAATTTCAGTCAAGTTCTCTAAAATCTCCCCACCTTCTTCTTCTTCTTCTTCTTCTTTTTTTTTTAAGTAAGGCTGGTTATAGTTGTAATCAAGGCATGCTAACAATTTTATATATTGCTTTATAATTCTATATTGTGCCATAAACATTTTCCTACCTACTGTCATGTTTATTATGGTAATCATTATTGTTTACTTTTCACATTATAAATATGTCATGATTTAATTAAACATATGTATATTTCCAATTAGAGAGCATTCACATTTTATAAAATGAACTTTTCTAGATTTAGTTCTTCTAGGTCCTTAAGTATGATGATCCAGAGGGCCCTTCATTTATTGTTTCATAATCCAGAGTCCTAATTTAGATTTATGTTATCTGGGGATGATTGTTAGTGACATGTTTTACAGACTATTCATTAGGATTCTAAGGGGTCAGCCCCAGGTCCAGTAAGCACCTCAGATCCAAGTCCTACCTTTGACAGAAGGAGATTCCTAGGGAATCTGGGAAATTCTTATTCAGGCTGGGTAATGTTACAGTTGCATGGAAAAAAGCACAAATATATAAGGTGCCAACTTTAAGCTTAATCTCTAGAACCCTATATTGGTTCCATGCCAGGGCTATCCATACAAAAGTTGTCTAATCTTTACATTAAAAAGGATGACTTTCCCACTTTTTAATTCTCAGATCTGGAATAGATACTGTCCACATAAGAAACAGCCAAATCTATAGAGAATTTTTATAAAAGTTTATTTGAGCCAAAATTGACAATTGCCAGGAAGCAAGATCCAAATGCTTCAGAGAATAACATTTTTGCAGTTTCTTTTTTCATTTTTTAGAAGATCTTATTTGTTTATTTTTAGAGAGAGGGGAAAGGAGGAAGAGAGCGAGAGAAACATCAATGGGTTGCCTTTCACACACCCCCAGCTGGGGACCTGGCCTGCAACCCAGGCATGTGCTGTGACCAGAGATGGAATTGGCAACCTTTCAGTTTGCAGACCAGTGCTCTATCCACTGAGCCGCACCAGCCAGGGTTTTCGGGATCTTTAATGCATTTAAAATTAAGAAGATTACATGAAGGTGGGAGACAATAGCAAGGTGGGGATTGTATTATAGGCTAGTTAAGATTATGTGCTTGCTTGAGGGTGGTTATGCCTTTGAGGGGTATTGTTTTTTCAGCATTTGAAAGGTGTGTTAACCTAGATGCACAGGAAAAACGGACAGGGTTTACTTTAAAACCTTTCACTAAAGAACTTACAGGTCTGGGATGTAAGTACCTACCATGACCTGCCCAGGCAGGAATTTATGATCAGGCCACCCTGTGAGGTTATTTTTCGTAGAACTCCTTTCTCGTCCACAGTGCATAGTCAGTTTTCACTTATGTACCTACACGTGTGTTCACTTGATATAATGGCTCATCTTTGCCCACTCTGCTTATGGTAAGTTTATATAAATATGTTTCATGGAAGTAAAAAATTAATAAAATTGTGGAATATTGGTTAAAATGACCTTGAAAGTTTATTTAGTTCCCTTTTATTTTCACAGACCTATAATTCAACCATTTTAAAGGAATGAGAATGCTCTGTATTTTCTTTAGTATCTGATACTCTTCCCTTTCAGAAAATTTTTTTCAATACCTGAAGTAAGTTTTTTTGCTGAAATGTCTTTTATTCAATTTGCAATGATGATATACAATCATATTTCTGACACAAAAATCAAACTACATTTTAGTTTAGTTACATTTGCTCTTTCTAGTTTCTGTCCTTTTCTTTTGCATTATTATGGAGTGTCAGGTTGGGCCTTCTGAAAGATTCTGCCTAATTGAAGCAATGTGTGTTATGCAGTTACATAGTGTATATGCTGAGCCTGTATAGATAGTACACTGACACATATGCAAATGCAGTAATCTTATCTGATGGGTTTATCACATGTGCATAAATATCACTAGCACAAGTAGCTACTCTCTTCACAGTTCTCAGCCAGATTGTTCCCATTTCCTCCCCTGCCCCTTCAGTCTCCGTCCCATCCTTGCTTAGAGGAATGTACAGTAGTAGTGATGGAGCTGGACGTAGTGAGGTATTTAACTTGAGGCCGTGCATTTGTTGCAGGAGAAACCCATTTATTCTTGCAGAAACAGTAAAGAATTACAGATCAGCAAGTTTTTTAGTGCAGAAGCAGGGTTATCAGTGGTATATTCTCTTGGAAGAGAACAGGCCTTGCCGAGGTGAGGGCAAAAGACATAGGTTCAGGGCATGGCAAGGTAAGGGTGGCATTAGGCAAGGGCAAGGGTGGTCAGAACAAGGGTGGCAAGAGCCCCAGGTCCTTTGTTCTGAGGACTTACATAGTTGGTGGGATGGGGGTGAAGAAGTTGCATATTGATTGATGGGTAAAAGTGGTGCCAGCTTTCCTAGGGGGGACTTGGCTACCCAAACTTAGCTATATGTAGGGGTCTATTAGCCTGAATCCTTATCTTGCATTAGACTCTATTTGTTCATCTTATTGTAAAACAGGTATGTAACTGGAGGCAGTTAATTAAAGTTGGGGCAGTTACCCAAAATTATTTATGTGCTCTTTCTGTAAGTTTCAGGGACTCCCCTGTAAAGGAGATTGTAACCAGAGGTGGGCAATTAACCAAAGTAGTGTTATGGGCTTCTTCTTTGGGCTCTGTGGGCAGGCCTTGGGATGAACACATAGTTTCAAGGCTTTCTTTCTCAGATAGTGAAAATGATACATAGAATTTCAAGGGTTTCCCTTCTCCCATCTAACACTGTGTTTCTTGTGATGTTGGAACACCTGGCAATATTATTGGACCAGGCTTAGGACTGCTGAGTTAGTGGGTGAGACATGTCTCCCTCCTCTTCCCTGCCTTGCTTAACTATCTATCTTACCTAACACATTCTTGTGCATCTCTTTAAGCCTTAATCTGGAAGGTGGTGGGACAGGGAAGACACTTGTGACTGTCACATTCCATTTTATCTCCCATTTCATTTCCAAGACAGAGTGGTCCATAAAGATTATGAACCAGGTCCTCTTCCTTTCTAGGTTCCAAGCACACCACTTATGCCAGCTGTCATTGCTGCCCAGACTTCTGGATGGGGTATGGTGACCATTGTTATTACTTCTCAATGAAGAAAAAGAACTGGAATTCTAGTCTGGAATTCTGCCTAGCCAAAGGCTCACAACTCCTTATGTTTACAGACAACCAGGAAATGGTAAATGCAAACATTTAGTGAATGTAGGTTGTTTTCTTGGTGAATGCTGTTTAAATCTATCATGTATGCTCTTTTGATGAACGAAAGGAGTATCTTTCTCTCTCCTCTTTCTTTCCCTTTTTTCCCCTTCTTCTTCCTCTCCCTTCTGCCTCCTCCTTGCTCACTCCTTATTTGGCCTGACCCGACAACCTTCAGTTATAGAAACCTAGATGTTTGTATAGGATATATGTGTGCACATTGGAGGTGGAAGAGTGATGAGTATGTTACAGAGAGAAATTGGACCTGAAGTACAGGTCTAATAAAAGACTCATTAGATCCAGGAACATACGGCCCAACAACAAGGAGGCAGCAGGTTCCTATGTGAGAGCTTGTGGAACTTGGGGGTGAGAAGAAGAGAGACAGCATGGGGATGAAGAGACTATGGCAAGGGCTTAAATGCCTTTCTTTTAATATTTGTCCTTCGTTCATTGGAATCAAGTGAGTTCCAGGCTAGGAAGCAGTTGGGGGTGGGTTAGGGTATATAAAGAGAAAACAGTTACAGAAAGTTAGGAAAGAAGGAAGGAAACTTGTGTGTGTGTGTGTGTGTGTGTGTGTGTGTGTGTGTGTGAGAGAGAGAGAGAGAGAGAGAGACAGAGAGACAGAGAGAGACAGAGAGAGAGAGAGATCTTAAGCTCCTTTCAGAGTTAAGCTGGTGGGCTCCACTTCCTCCAGGGCTCTCAGATCCTTTCTGTCTAGCCTGCTGGAGGAGAGCTCTTTATTAATCCTACAGCATCTCAAGGTAATATAAGGAGTGACATCCTGTGGATACCTGGTAAAAACTCAAATTCCAACTTAATGTAAACAACATACACAAAGAAAATAAGAAATCCTAGCATGGCTTTTAGTGCCAAATCATACACATGATTTTTGTGTATTACCATTGCTTTCTATATTTTGGGGGGATAGAATCAAGATATAGAAAACAGCTTATTAAAAGTTCAATTATATTAACATCCCTAGTGGAAATTCAGGGAGATAATTACTCTAAATCAATTGGGGAGAATGTATAGTTCCTAGATTTTATAATATCCCACTAAAAAAAAAAAGATTAAAGCATCTACATTCTTGTTTTCTATCAAAGAAATGCTTTTTCCTCTGAAATTTTGCATAGACTGTAACTCCAAATCAGCCCAGCTCCGTGACTTACTTTTCCTTTATGCCTTTCCTAAACTAGGTGGCAAAATGTATTTGGGATATAAAATTTTATTTTATGGCACCTGGTAACAGTAACCTTGCTTTCTGGACCTTTTTGCAGTAACTTTTATTCTCAGTCTGATGAAGCTGCTTCTGAGGACTTGAACTGACTGAAATCAATAGCAGAAGTGAGCAAAGAGCTTGAAACATTGCTGGGCAACTACTGATAAACAGAATAGCGAGTCATAATGCAAGGCACTGCCACAGAGAATCATGGTGCCGCAGCTGCTACAGACTATGCCATGTGAGAATGAGATGCAGAGGGAAAGGGCTGAGGTATGGAGAGTGTCTAGGAGTTGCGGATATGTCAGTGTTCCCAAGGTCCCCTGGTGGAATGGAGTAGCTATTAGAGGAATTTTGTGTTTCTTTTCTGTCTTTGCTTTCCCTGGATCTTGCCTCTGCTGTTATATAAGTGGAATGGAGTTAGATTGGCTGTATTTCCAAGACTTATCTTCTCTTAAGAAGATAAGTTTATCTTCTCTTAAGGCCCTTAGGTTCAAATGGGTACTGCAGAAGGTGGAGTGTCCCTGAGAAATTTAATAGCAAGCACAGATAAGTTTTGCTTCTGACATTCCTTTGGTTCTCTGGCTTAACTTTTTTCTCTGCCTCAGCTTTTGTCAGATTCTATAGAATCAACTTGACTTAATTTTGATTTGATAAGCCTCTTGTACTACTGTCATTATTTTGTTTCAAAGGCAAGATTTACATACCATGTTAAGGTTTACTTGATATTCCTAGTATCATACTTAGGTCTGAACGGCAACCAAAAGAGCATATGAGTATATTAAAATGGAAGTTTTTCAAACTGGCCTTCCCTTGGTGGAGAGTACTGCTAGGGAATTACGTTGCTATGTGCTGGGTGCTAAAGGACTTATACCCCCCCTTTTATATTCAGCTATAGCAGAGTATAAAAACAATAATAGAAACTGACTTGTATTGAGCACTTGCTATATTCCAGGTATTTTATCTATATTATTCTTAATCTTCACAGCAAAGTAGAATTCAACACCTCCATTTCACTGATGAGTACAAATCCAAGGTCACAAATCTGACAAAGCCAGTTCCTCTCCCCCTTCTCCTCCTCTTCCTTCTCTTCCTCCACCTTCTTCTCCTCCTTCTTTTTCTTCTTTGGGAGCCAGATTTTAAACTCCACTTTAGCCCACCCTTTAAAGTCACTTACAGAAATATTGTATTTGACAGCTTCTAGAATCTATCTTGTATATGCTGAAAAACGAGATAAAAATCTTCCTATTAATTGCATTCTGTTGCCTTTTCTTCCCTATATATTTAAAAAATTATTTGAATTTGAAATCTGAATGTACATGATATGGTCCATGGGATTTAAAGATTTTTAAAATGGTCAAGTGTTCACTTATCTCTGTCTTTTCTCTTGGACTTTAAGATTTGGGTGGAAGTGGAAGAGAGTATAAGGGGGATAAATGGTAATGGAAAAAATAAAATAAATAAAGATTTATTTTACTTCAAAATAAAGTAAAGTCATTGCTTTAACTACTTTACCTGAAAAGGGTCTGGAGATTGAAGAAAAACATATTAATGCTATTATTTAAAAATATATCAGACATATAATAAAATAAATAAAGATTTATTTTATTTTTTAAGAAAATAAAACGAAACTGAAATTGGAATTACTCTGTTATTTCCTCAGGTTTCTGTTCATATATGATATCTGGCCTTTGTTGTTCGTCCTGCTTTTTGAATTTATCTTTAGGTTTTAGATATATTCAAATCCTTGATTTTTGTTGTTATTTTACCCCGACAAAGCTCAGTTTATTTTGGTTGGTAGCATTTTTTCCTTAGAGTTGTTGAAGTATTATTCAAAAAGTACACATTTGGTAGAGAGTTCCTTGTGGAAATTTTTTTGTTTCTTAAGATTTGTCCTGATGCTCCCTACCTCACAGTATCTTTCGTCTTCATTACCATAATTTGAGATGATCTAATCAGAGTTTACTGTTTTAACAACCTAGTCACTTCAACTATCTTTCCCACTAGAATTTATGACTTTGGGATTGTTTTTGTCTTCTCCCTGGTTTTTCTTGTATTTAGGGTTTAAATCTAATTATATGCATATTTTCCTTCTTTGGAGACTGCAGTACAAACACTACAACAAATTGGTCACTTTTCCCCATATTTTAAAGTCGAATCAGGTAATGGGAAGAGCTTAGTTTCTTTCAGACATTATGAGTCTATTTTTACTACAGTACTTACTACGTGAACTCAAGCAATTTTCTTAACCTCTTTAACTTTCCATTTCCTTATGTACCAAGTGAAGAAAGAATTTTCAGGAATTGTTATAAATATTAAGTGAGAAAAATCTATATGGAAATTTTTTAACATAGTAGGAATTAATTATAGTATTTCTTTTCCACTTGAATTCTCCTTGTCACTCAAAATAAACTCCAGAGCCAGAATAACTTTTGTTTTTCTCTTCTGTTTCTTAAGACATGAAATTGTGGTAAAATATGTATCACAGAGTAAACTATGACTTGTTTAACTGAGTATGTCCCTTATGAGGGAACCTGAAATGGTATGTTGGAAGATTGAAAGAAATGACTGGAAACACGAGGCAGATTATAAAGGAATTGTTTCACCGTGGAGGTCTTCCTGATCTGGTAACGTGTGTGTCCTCTATCATCCTATCTTTACAAACAGATCAAGCAACCAGCGTGAGTTTTACACCAAGCATAGGTATGGTAGATAGGTTAAGATATTTCTTTCTATCTTTTCTTTCTAAACTTAAAAAAATGCATAGTATAGAATTTAACATTTAGCCATTTTCAAGTGTACAATTCAGTGGCATTAAGTGCAGCTCCTTTGTTGTGTAACCACCACCACCATTTAGCTCCAGAATGTTTCCATTGTCCCCAGCAGAAACTTGGTCCCCATTAAACAGTAACTCCATGTTTTCTCCTTCCCCTAGCCACCTTTCTACTTTTTGTCTCTCTGAGTTTGCCTATTAGATCTTTTTAGACATGCATTATTTCAAGGTTCATTCATGCAGTAGCATTTACCAGAGTTTCATTCCTTTGTATGGCTGAATAATATTCTATTATATGAATATATCACATTTTGCTTATCCATTTGTTTGTTGATGGACAGTTTTTTTATGATCTTTTAAAGTGCTCTGGTTTATAGAACAAGGCTTATTTAAGTATTGTACACATACACAAAATTATAGGGAAAATGATTATCAATATGAAAGTCATAATTGGTAGCCTGTCAATTTTTGAACTCTCTTAATGTATCTGCATTTTTTGATTTCAAAAAAAGTTTACTGTATTTTTTCCATTACCATTTAGTCACTGTACACAACCCCATGTCCCCAGCAATCACCATACTGTTGTCCATGTCCATGAGTCCTTTTTCCTTTTTTGCTCCATCCTTCCACCCCTAACCTCGCACCCCCAGCCCAGCTGTCATCCTGCTCTCCATCTATGAGTTTGGTCTCATGTTCCTTGTTAGTGCAAATTTGTTCATTAGATTCCACATATGAGTGAAATCATATTGTATTTGTCTTTCTCTGACTGGCTTATTTCACTTAGCATAATTTTCTGCATATTTTGATATGACAGTAATCCATGTTTACTTAATAAAGGATATCTAAAAAGTCTGGAAACAGGAAAAACTTATTTAAAAATAATATGTTAGTTATATGTACAAGTAATATGCTCAGTGTGTTTTTATTCAACTTCTGGACACATTTTCAGCTGAAATAACTCTAAATTTAAGCAATAGATTAAATTGAGTTT